TCAGTCATGGTATTGAAGGTGGAAGAGAGCGCTGTACATTCACTCCCCCCACCTACAATCCCTGCCGGTACGAGCTCGAACCCGCAACCTTGGGTCACTAGTCCGACTCTCTAACCATTAGGCCACGACTTCCCAGAAGACGCAGTGGATTATGTTTGTTTTTTTAAGGGAATGCGCCCCCGATCTACCTAAATGCGTCTATGTTCGCACGAATCATTCGTGTTCCAGCTTCACCTCCAAGTAGTGAGTATAAGGTTTTTTAATGAATCTTTGCAAATCGCCTTTCCTAACAATGTGCTAATTAGCAAGTTTCACGATGAATGCGGCTAAAGTAAATTGGCCAGAGAGCGGCTCGGAAGAGAGGGGCGGGGTCAGCAGAGCTCATTAACATTTAAAGGAAAATGCTACAAAACGGCTTGCTCTGAAAAGAGCTGTTTTTGACAGGGTAAAAAAAATTGTTTTTTACACTACCATTGAGAAATTGTAACCAAACTATGTTACAGACGTTTTATTAAGACCCTAAAGAATCATATCATCTTGTGGAAAATGGGCGTCCGATGACCCCTTAAAGAAATTGTGAGCGGTGTTTTCCTCTGCAAAACTTGATAGAAGTCTCTAACCCCATGTAAGAGCAAAAGTAATAGAGATGCTTGCCTTATTTAAAATATAATCATCAAAATGAACATCTTAATCTTTAAAAGCTCCCAACATTGACCAAATGTTATTTTTCTGCAGTTTCATTCGTTGGCTCCCATGTATTACAGGGGCTCTGCAGCGGCCGTCGTTGTTTACGACATCACAAAGCTTGTAAGTTGTATTATAGTATGTTTGTGCAATTCATTTTCAAGTTGCTTCTATTTAAAAAGCACGTTTAACTGTGTTTAAGGTGCAGTACACTGAAATGTGTCGTTTTGTGTGTATTTGTTTATAATCGTGGGAGAAATTAAGAAGTTTTGAAAGAAAAATCACAAATGAGATCCTGCCTATATATCAGTTGTTTCTCAGAAAGCAACGCGATTGAATGGAGATTAAACTGATTTCACATCAATGTCTCAAACTGTGCTCAAAATTTTCAAAGCAAAATTCGGAGATGTCAGTTTGTATATTTCTCTTCAAATTCATCCAAGATCAAATGATCTGAGCTGCTATCCACGTTTTCTAACTGGTATCCTCAATTTTATAGCTCTACACTCTTACTGGATGACAATTACTGATTAATTGTCGTCTATTTCATTTGATCTCCTGTGGAATTTCAGAAGCACCTGAGACAAAGTTGATACTTCAATTAAATGTATGTGTATTGTGATGTGTCTGGTGTCTGCAGGACTCTTTCCAGACGTTAAAGAAGTGGGTGAAGGAGCTGAAGGAACACGGGCCGGAGCATATAGTCGTGGCTATAGCAGGAAATAAAACCGATCTGGGTGATATCAGGTTTAAACCCTCTTCCTCTTACTGAAAATGTATTATACTCTCTAAAGTTTCTTTCCTAAACCTGCAGCCGCTCAGCTTATATTTTCATATTTCTTACGTCTTATGTGATCATTTTACATGAAATCAAAATTGCACATTAAGAGCAGATCAAATTCATCAAGATGTTTATAGCTAATGTTCACAACTTCATAAATAAAACGTAGTAACTTGCTATCCAGTCAATTCCTAAAGTATAAACACATGTCCTGCTTTTACATTGTGGTGGTTAAAGATGGCCTGCGAATGCTGTTTCACTTTAGTTGTGATTATTAGAGTTTAATTTGAGCTTTTTCAGTTCTGAGAAACTTGGACTCGCCACATCTCAATGGCAGCAAACTGCACCTTCAGTGATAGTTTTGCTGAGACCGTGCCACTGTTAATTAAGCCTTTTCCATTTAGAATTTTTCAATCACTTTTCCCAACTGTCTGCCGTTGCGTCTGTATAATTATTTGACATTTGCAGGCAGTCCAGTGCTCGTTTACCACAGTCCCCTCTGATGTTTGTGTCGCTCATGTCCTCAATTGAACACGTTCCTCAGGCTAAGCAAACACTCGATGATTTCTGTGAGTGAGCTGATTGTTTACTAATATTCAGTGGGTTTTTTTTTATTCTAGGGAAGTTCCAACTAAAGAGGCAAAAGATTTTGCAGAGTCTATTTCAGCCATATTTATGGAGACCAGTGCCAGAAATGCAGTAAACATAGAGGAGCTGTTTCAGAAAATCAGTAAGTATCACTAAGACTAGTCAAGTCTCCACACTACACCTGGCCCACAGCGGGAAACCCGAATAGTGGCAAACTACAGCGTATAGTGATTTGTTACTGTCGCATCTTCTCCCTCATTCTCTGTCATTTTCCAGCTATTTTACAAAGCGTTCTCAAGTCAGTATGGAGGTTTATTTCTTGCAAATTAAGTTTACATATTATTTCCCCTGGTTTTTAAGCAGAATTCAGAGGAAAAAAGTCAAAATTGCAATAAAAAAAACAAATACAAGACATAAATTTTACATACAAAACACACTATGTTCAATAACTACACTACCATAGGAAGATTTAGTTTTTTTTTTTTAATTACATACATTTTTACATTTTTATTTTTTAATCAGCAAGGACCCATTAATTTGATCAAACATGACAGTAAAGACATTATAATGTTACAAAAGACTTATTTCAAATAAATGTTGTTCTTTTAGACTTTTTTGTTCATTAAAGAATACAAAAAAAAATGTAATAAGAACTATTACTGACCCCAATGTTTTGCACGGTAGTGTACATTTATTATTAATATAGATATAATCCTTCCATTAGTAGTTTATTAGTCTAACTGTAAGTGATATTGTAGATAATATATCTAGACCTGTCATATGTGCATGATATGTATGATCTTTGCAAAATATTAAATTTGTGCTAAGTTAAAATATTTTATTCCAGTAGTCAGTGATAATGACTCAGAGCTAATTTTATTTTATCATGAGCATTAATCATCATCACATTTGATGTCAGTTTATTGTGAAAGATTGCACTTAATTACATAAACACACTTGTATTTCACTGCATTTTTCTAATGCAGTGACATGAACACAGTGTTTTGAAACTAGTGGTGACATAATTGTTCATGTTCTCCCATCTGTGTAGGTCGACAGATCCCTCCACTGGAGAACACAGACGCTGACAGCCACGAGTCCTTTAAACTAACACGACAGCCTCCTCCCTCCAGCAAACGCTGCTGTTAGACATCCATCCGCAAGTCACTACAAACACCCTACAACATGTGGTATTTGGCCCATGCGATACATAGAGGAGGATCACAATACACATAAATCAACCTGATGTGGATACGGTCACATGACTGATAGACATGCATATTGCAGTAGGAAACACAGCAATTCTGCCTCTGAACCATTTTGTACCAAGTCAGAATGTTTTCTGAATATTGCATTGATGCTGAGCAACTTTTGAGACATGAGTTATCTCAACATGGAATAATTTTCTTATCAAGTCTTTTTAAATGCAGTATTGTGACAAATAGAAATGCTAGTAGTTAGCACAAAGTTTACACAAGAATAAGTGCCTTAGAAAATGCCATTTTGATGTTTGGCATTGCCGTTTTGATACATAAAAACAATAGTTTTAATAGGTTATTTCTAATCTGGCTTTATTTGACTGCTTACGATGACATAGGATCTGATGAAGCCTAGATGAAAGATAGACATTCGCAAATGTGTTGGTCACACTTTATATTACAGTGTTCATTGTATTATGTATTTACATACCACTACTGCTTCATACTAATAAACCGTGTGTTTAATATGTCATTTTTGTAAAGCTGTGTGTAATTGCACATAGTAATTGTGTTTATTTTAATAATTAATTATACGGACACTGTAAAATAAAGTGTTGTCAATTTATTCATCCTAAAAATAATGGTTAAAACTGTGGTTATTGGTTAAAATGTAAAACATCAATGTAGAATTTTTACCTTTATTAAATGAGGAAATCAGCCACCAGGGGGCACAATTGGCTTTAAAGTAAACACACGTTTTGTTAGTTCTTCTGCAAACCTCTGCTTACCTGTTGCTGTCAGTGTTAAAATGTCTCAACTGTTCATATTTTTCCCACTAAAATGTCCGAGGTTGGTGATTTTTTTCAGTTTGGAACTGAGAAAAATCTGTTCATCTGTTAAACAGGTACACTTGTTATCTGATCAGATAGTTTGCAAGTAAAACAAACCATTACTATGTTAATTTCCCTAAAAAGTTTAAACACTGATTCTGTGGCACTTTCTGTCAGCCAGTGGTGTGAGTTACAAGTATCAGTTCGACTGACCTGTCGCACACGGGGATCGTGCCGATGGTTGGGTCATTATTTTTGCAATTCCATTTGGTGACCCTAGTGCTTCGGAAATTACACACTTCACCTTTAAGGCTAAAAGCAGGGTAATTGTGCGCTCTTACATAACCAGCCTACCTTGGTGTGGTCGTGAGTGGATTGATTGCCTGTCCTGTACAGTAGTTTTTCAATTTAGTAATCAGAATGATCTTTTCTGTCAGTCACAGCTGGCAAAATCACACTTGTATCACATGCAGCGCTGGTTCTCCTCTAACAGTTATGTTTTTTGTTCATAAATCATCACAGTCATTATTGACAAAGCGTCACATGTAATTTAACATTTAATATATCTATCTAATTATATCTCCTTTCTAAGTGTGAATTCACATGGATGCCTTAACCTAGCAAATTCAGTCTGAATCATAACCGAGCTAGACGAGATCTGGTGATAATGGTAATTTTCAGTTAAACATTTTGTAAATAACTTTATATTTGTATTTTTAAATCTACCTTTTCTTAGTTAACTTAATGTTTCCCTTATGTGATGTGACAATGGTATCAAACACATTTTGTACCGGAAGTCATCAATAAACTACAAATGCAGTATGCAAATGTTTGCTTAAAATATTATTGCATATGTTCTTCGTATTTAATTGTTTTGATTTACTGTATGAGTATTCCTACAGATTTGGACAGTGCTGAAGATGTAATAGTTTTGGAAGATAAAAATCACAGTATTTAGTGCGGTGGTGATATCTAAAGGTTACAGTACGACGGGTTTTATAAATCCCAAAGGAGCAATTTAGCACATAGGCAGCTATAGCTGTCCAATTTTTTTCTTCTTCAAGCGAACTACGGGTCTAAACGTTTCGACACTGTTACTGTATCTCAGCAGTAGTCTTTCCAGAGCAAAATATCTGATTCGATTAAGTGTTTTTTGTTTTGTTTTTTCTGTGTAGTGGTTGGAACTGGTAATACAAAACAGTTATTTTAAATTTTAATTTCTTACAATATTACCAAAAACTAAACAGTTTATACAATAATGTATTATTTTTGAAATAATGCAGCCTTGATGAGCTTCTTTCAAAACCCCAGATTTTGAATAGTAGTGTATATACATACATACATACATACATAGTCTATGTCTGCAAAACTAGCTTCAAAGGTTTTAGGATACTGCAAAATATCAGTTCAGTCAAGTGTGTCCAAACTTTTGACTGATAGGTTAATATGAATGTGCTGCAAATGCTGGTTCATGTTGTTTTTAACAAGCATCAACAGCACTATTAAAATTTTCAAATGGTACCAGTTCCAACCACCACACAGAAAAAAAAACACAAAAAAAAACACTTAACCGAATCAGATATTTTGCTCTGGAAAGACTACTGCTGAGATACAGTAACAGTTTGGACACACTTGACTGAACTGATATTTTGCTGTATCCTAAAACCTTTGAAGCTAGTTTTGCAGACACAGACTATGTATGTATGTACAGCATATACACTACTATTCAAAATCTGGGGTTTTGAAAGAAGCTCATCAAGGCTGCATTTATTTCAAGGGGAAGTCGTGACCTAATGGTTAGAGATTGGCCGCAAGGTTGCGGGTTCGAGTCTCGTACCGGCAGGGATTGTAGGTGGGGGGAGTGAATGTACAGCACTCTCTTCCACCTTCAATACCACGACTGAGGTGCCCTTGAGCAAGGCAACGAACCCCCAACTGCTCCCCGGGTGCCGCAGCAAAAAATGGCTGCCCACTGCTCCGGGTGTGTGTTCACGGTGTGTGTGTGTTCACTGCTGTGCTGCTGTGCACTTTGGATGGGATAAATGCAGAGCACTAATTCCGAGTATCGGTCACTATACTTGGCCACATGTCACGTCACTTTCACTTTCACTTTTTCATCAATAGTACATTAAAACTGGTAATATTGTAAGAAATTAAAATGTAAAATAACTGTTTTGTATTGTAATATATTTTAAAATGTAATTTATTCCTGATGCAAAGCAGAATTTTACCATCATTACTCCAGCCTTTAGACTCCAGTCACATTATCCTTTAGAAATAATTTTAATATGCTGATTTGCAGCTCAAGAAATATTTCTTAATAATATTTTTGTGGAAAATTTGATAAATAGAAAGTTTAAAATAGCATTTATTTGAAATAGAAATCTTTTGACATAAATGTCACTTTTGATCAATTTAACGCCTCCTTTCTGAATAAAAGTATTAATTTCTTTACAATTAAATTAAATCTTCCTGACCCCAATCCTTTGAACAGTAGTGTATGCATAAATATATTTGTGTATATATTAATGTATTTGTTATCTTTATTTATATGGATGAATTGGACAAAGTAATGAAGGAAGAGGATCAAACAAATGTACAGCATACATGAATATATGAACTTTTGACAACATGAACATGAACAACATTAACTTTTCTGCAGCTTTCTACATGTACATCATTCAGGGTTTCTTTGAGGTGAATGGTATTTAAATCACACCATTGGTGGTACCTCAGGGTTCAGTGCTAGGTCCTCATCTCTTTACAATTTACACACACATCACTGGCTCCTGGCACATTCATTTTTACATATCACTGCTGCACTGACAACATAAAATTCTACTTCACTTTTTGCACCTTGCTATATGGTTGCTAGAGTGTTTTGAGAAGTTGCTAGTTGGTTGCTTACTGACCCAAGTCAAAGTATATATGAAATTCTGGTGTCTAGATATGGCTCAGCTCCCTTCTTCAAAGCTTATGGGATTTTTCCTGTTTTATCATCCGCCTTGGAAATGGTAAGTCCAAACCTCAGAAAAGTAATTGCACACCTCAACAAGCTGTACAATTTGAGGTTTCATGTTTTTAGCACAAATTGTGTAGCACGGAACAAACAAACAACAGGAACGATTTTAGGCTTAGTAAGTGCCACTAATTAAGACTCTTACCATCTCGTTTGTCACATCACAGTAGAAGACAACAAGTATTTTCTCTTATACGCTCTTATAAATAAAGCTTCTTTATTGGCATTTATGGTTCCATGCAGAAGCTTTAACAACTATGGAATCTTTCCATTCTATCTTTATAGTGGAAAAAGTTCTTTAGACTGTTAATGTTATGCACAAAAATGGTTCTTTTAACACTTGTTCACTGCTAGGTGTGGTATCTAAATCACCCCAATGGGGTACCTCAGGGTTCGGTGCTTGGTCCTCTTCTCTTTACAATTTCCAAACACATCACTGGGTCTCGGGCACATTAATTTATACATATTACTGCTGCACTGACAACATAAAACTCATTTTTTTAGCACCTTGCTATATGGTTGCTAGTGTGTTTTTAATGGCTGCTTACTGACCCAAGTCAAAGTCTATACAAGTATTTCTTTATACACATTCTTATGGTTCCATGAAGAAGCTTTAACAATCATGAAATCTTTACATTCCTCGATCCTTTATAGTGGCAAGGTTCTTTAGATTATTAAAATATTCTGCAAAAAAATGGTTCTTTTACGAACTGTTCACTGAAGGGTTCTTTTCTTTGAGGAACTCAGAATGGTCCTTCTGTGACATCACCGCGAGAAACGCATTTTGGAACCTTTATTTTTAAGAGCTTAATTTATTTCCATTCTGATTTTCTGTGCCGTGATATTGTGTTGCGACATCTGCTGGGTCAGTGCTGTGTCAAGCACAACTCGATCAGATGTTCAAGTATTGTTTTGATTAGGAACCTTTGGAAAGCCCTTTCTTGAAAAGAAGGAAATTGGGCGCACTCTTCTTGCTTCCTATAGCTTCTGCCAGGAAAATAAAGGCTTTTGTTCTGTGCAGATTACTCCGTAAACTCAGTTAACTCTCTGGCTGAACCTGCAGACCCTCTTTCATCTCAGGTAAAACAGCTGTAATACCTGAGTGACCTTTGTGATGGCCAGAGGTGACGCAGGTGTTCTTGGCCAGTGGGTGTTTGTGACAGGTTGACGTTGGGGTTTATTACGCTCGTCTCCACACTTCTCCTTGTGTTTAACAGATCCACGTGCGGACGCCCACTGCTTGCCTGGACTTTCTCACTGATGAGACAAGTGGGCGATTCAAGAGAGGAGAGCGGAACAAAATAACTTGTGGCCAAATGTCAGTAAATCGTGTAGCCCGCATCACCATGGGAACGAGCTGGGAAGAGACAACAACAGCGGCGGCGGACCGGTCTGTGGTTTCCTGAGATTATCTTTTTATTCTTTCACAGAGGTTCAGATGTTATTGTCATGCGCGCTTTGACTCTTTTTCTACCTCACAAAGCACCTGGAAAATGGCTCTATTTTAGTCGGAGCCCTGCTTTTAGAAGAATCTCACTGAATGAGTGTGATTTTGAGTCTTTGCACACCGGCGTGAATGGATGTTAGTATAGCACTGTGTGCCATATGGCAATAATCATTTTATCTCTGTCATTGTAGGCACGTTCTGTAGATGTATGTGGAAGCAGAGGTTTTTCGTCTTCTCCTCCTCCTCCTGCTCCCAGAGTTCAACTGGGTTCAGTAAGTGTGAGAATGACCCGACAGAGATCATTAGACCTGTTGTTTACGCTGCTTGTTAAAATATCATACCGTGACATTTTCTCAAACACGTTTGGTGGCTCCTGCTCTTGTTAAAATAAAGTTTCCCAAATGAGGAGAGCAAGTTCCCGTGATGCCTCCTGTAAATCAGTGGTCAGCGTTTTTGTCTTAAACAACACTGAATTTGAAGCTTTAATGTTTCCTGTTATGTTAAAAGTTTGATAAAGCAGCTTGTTTTTGAGCTTTTTTATTTATAGAAACTGGGAGTGTCAGTACATATTAAATTGATTAAGCACAGCTATTTTTGTGATTCTAGAATTAGAATTCTGTATATTCTTGAATAAAACAATAGTTATAATAATTACTATTATTAAACAGTAAGATGGGGGTTAATATATTTAATTAGATTTTTTTCATATATGAAAAAATAGCATTAGCAAACATGAACAAACAGTGAGTAGTGTATATTTTACAGCATTTATTCATCTTTGTTAATAAAATAGAATTGTGTGCTTGTGTAATATACACATACATAGTTTTTTTTTATTTTTACATTTTAAGTATTTTTTTTCTTTTAATATAACTAAATATCATTTTAAATAATCCTTCAAACCAACTCAGTCCATTTTAAAGGAATATTGTGGTTTGGACACAAGTTAAAGTCTACTGACAGAACTTACAAGCATGCATGTAGTATGTATGTATTGTATGTAGCATGCATACAAAAAACAAGTGTCTACAAATGCACATACATTGGAAGTCTGTGGGATGTGCAACACTTACGATGAATGTTTGTTCATTTTTACAAGCTGAGACATTTATTTAAATTATTTTCAACCATTCTGCTGATGCTGTAGAGCTCAACTGGTATTGAACAGAAGTTTAAGTTCTTAATTAACAAATCTTTATACAGTATGTGTACATATATAACAACGTACATTTATGCATTTGACAGATCCAAAAATCCAATTACAAATTATCCAAAATTACTTACATTGCACTTAATGTTTACATTTGATCAGTTCATGCATGGGAATCAAACTCATGACTTTTCTGTTGCTAGTGCCATGTTCTACATGCTATACTGTGTAAGCCACAGAATACTGATTTAAAGAATGTATGATGTTATAACAATATATATAGAGAGAGAGAGAGAGAGAAATGCAAATGTTTACTTGTCCACAAAACAAGATTCAAGCATTTAAACATAGGCCTTTAGATCATTTTTAAAGATTATAATAGATTCAGATTTATAATCGATAAATATTAGAACAGATTTTGTCCAACCTGGAGATGGCAGAGAAAACTGACTTTAGATTCTAATTTAATTTTTATGCATAGACTTCTCAAAAAAGCATTGATTTACTTTACACTTAAGATTTAATTTAGTTAGATTAGATAACGTTAGTTTGGATGAACTAACAATGAACAGTACTTCTACAGCATTTATTAATCTTAGCCATCTTAATTTGACCCTTTTACAAACACATTTTTAAAATCTAAAGTTCGATGTGTTAACATTAGATAATGCACTATCAACTGACATTAACAACAAACAATTGTTTAATTTATGATGTTCCATATGACACAACTTTCATAAAAGAAGATATTTGAAATTTGTTTGTTTGTGCATTCTGAACTATTTCTTTAAAAGTTTTCTACAGTGATATTACTGCAAAGTGGCAAAAAAAAAAAAAAAAACGTAACTCTTGATGCACAAATAAAGTGTAAAAACATAACAATGTGTCCATATTTGGATATTTCTGAATTGGTCTGAAGCCATTAGCCTCTCTGTGATGATAGACTTTAGATCTGTAAACACTATCATCAGCGCAGAATGGGCCGAAGTTGGACACCAGCTTTTGTTATGTGGATGATTATCTCAGATGTGCATAATATTTTCTGCAGATAAAAGTACAGTCTATAATTAATATCTAAGCCCCCTCATTGTTTCATAGAGAGATACTGTGGGCAAAGCCACCAACCGGCTTTTGCAAGCTCATCTGTGCATTTGTATGCACATGATGAAGACTTTTTAGATGATGGAATCAAAATGAAAGCATACTTGCATGACAGTAGCTCAGCCCATGATGCATCCTGGGAAATAAGAGTGAATTTGATCATCACTGTACTTTCATAGCCATAATGCTCCTCACCTCTCCAGGCAATTAGTTAATTGCATTTTAATGTTAAGCCCAGACAGCAGATGAGAGACAGACAGAGAGAGAGGTGGAGAGAGGCTAATAAAACAGCATACCTGGGGATGTGGTGTTGAACACAATTTGTGTTTTGCATTAAAAAGGAGAATGACACATTTCTCTACTCAAGATCATTTAAATAGATGCATGTATTAATTACTCACATGGTTCTGAATTTCATTTTCTGCTGTTTTGGTTGTTTTGTAGTGATTTTAGATGAATAGTTAAAGGAATAGTTCACCCAGAAATGAAAATGTACTCACCCTCAGGCCATCCAAGATGTAGGTGTGTTTGTTTCTTCATCAGAACAGATTTATAGAAATTCAGCTTTACATCACTTGCTCACCATTGGATCCTCTGTAGTGAATGGGTGCCGTCAGAATGAGAGTCCAAACAGCTGATAAAAACATCACAATAATCCACACCACTCCAGTCAATCAGTTAACATCTTAAAACAAAGTTAAAAGCTTTGTGTTTGTTAGAAACAAATTCATCATTACAGTGTTTTAACTTTAAATAGTCATTTCTGGCCAAAATACGAGTCCATAATCCATACTTCCTCCTGTGTGAAGTCCATCTCCTGTTGTCCTCTCACATCAATATCCACCCATAGCTTTGTTTAGAACTGTTTTGGACTGTTTTAGCTTGTAAACAGTGCTTGATTTGTGTGTATTTCTCTCCTGATTCAGACCATATGACTGGAGAAAGCAATATTATGGATAGAGGACACGCATTTTAACTGGAAGCGACAGTTTCAACTTTAAAATTGTCTTGATGAATTTGTTTATTACAGACATGCAGCTGGAGTGGTGTGGATTGCTTGTGGATTATTGTGATGTTTTTATCAGCTGTTTGGACTCTCATTCTGACGGCACCCATTCACCGCAGAGGATCCACTTGGTGAGCAAGTGATGCAGCGCTAGATTTCTCCAAATCTTAAAACTCATCTACATCTTGGATAGCCTGAAGGTAAGTGCATTTGCAGAAAAATTTCTTTCTTGTGGGAACTATTCCTTTAACTGAGCCAATATGTAATAATATAAATAATTCAGGATTTAAAAGATGTCATAATGTTTCGTTGTTTCTTTCTTAACATGTGAGCTAGACATACTTTACATGCACAAACGTTGAAACTCTACAGCTATATTTAAATCTGGGGAAAAGATTGTATGTCTGCTGTGACTTTAACATGCGTTTTCTCCAATTAGCTGACTTTTGGAAAAGTTGTGCACGAACAATATGGGTGTGCGTTTCTATAGTCCTCTCTCCAAGTTTCCAGGGAAACAGCAGATCAGAGAGCAGTAAATCAAACACAATTATACATCATCTCAGAGCACTATTTCATTCAAAATGCTTCTCTCTCACTGGCCAGCTATAAGATTCCACCAGTTGTGAATAATAGACAAAAAAGCTTTAATTGATGAGGCGCTTTGAACGGTGCCTGTTGCAGCCCACTCACAGTTATCCATGCATCATGATTTTCCTGACACAGAGATGCGGTTTTCCTGAATGAGAAATGGCACACTGCCCATTTCTGATTGATTCAATCATGCTATTTTCTGCTGTATGCATACTATGTGAAGTATGTAATGCCTGTGCTCCTTATTTAGTAATGTTTTGGACTTGTAAACGGTGCTTGATCTGTGCATATCACTCCTAATTCACACAAGGCAAATTTTTAACAGCTGGAGAAAGCAATATTATGGGCGCTTAAGGACTCATATTTTAGCTGAAAGCAATGGTTTGAAGTTAAAAAAAAAGTCTTGATGGATTTCTTTCTTACAAACAAGCAGCTTTTGGCTTCACTAGACATTAATCGATTGACTGGAGTGGTGTGGATTGCTTGTGGAGTATTGTGATGTTTTTATCAGCTGTTTGGACTCTCATTCTGACGGCACCCATTCACTGCAGAGGATCCACTTGGTGAGCAAGTGATGTAATGCTAAATTTCTCCAAATTTTAAAACTCATCTGCATCTTGGATGGCCAGCAGGTAAGTAGCCTACGTTTCCAGAAAATTTTCTTTCTTTTATGAACTGTTCCTTTAACCTAGTCAATATGTGCTCATTTACGGACTATTTCCAAGTTTACTTTTTGCATATAGAAAATAATGTGTTTTTTGAACCTTAAACCACATAAACACATTTCATTACACCAAATACGCCAAATAATGTGCTTTTTAGCAACGTCATATGACCCCTTTAAATAGAATGCATAACATACATGTAGTATTTAGTAAGCAGTCTGTTCTGTTCCTGCTGTACTCCTTAAGTAGTAGGCAGTATACAGAAGGCTATAAACAGTGCAGTAAGCATTACTCTAGTATTCTATTCCGAACTCACTGACGGACTGCGAGTAATTCCAGAGTGGTGCGCGCGCACGGTGCGCTATTAAAGCCTCGAGTAGCCGCGCATTGCCAACAGAGCGTTCTGTCCTGGAGTGAGACGCGAGACGAGCAACAACTCATGGACTGAAGCGAGGACGCTTACTTCAGATCCCGACCACAAACCACTTCACGTAAGTTCAACTGCAACAAGTTTTTAAAACAGGAGGAGCTTTGGGAAAGTTTAAATGCATGCATATATTCATTATATATTAATATATTTAATTACAAATGTATATAAAACTATGTATCGGAGCTAAATATCTGAGTATCAAACTATTGCACATTATAATGTGTTGTGGAATGTGAAAATAGCAATCGCATCAGCTTTACCGCGTTACAGCTGTTCGAAATTATGGTCAAATAAGGTTTTTGCGAATAGTAGCCTAGTAACATAACATAAAATGCCATCTGTTGAACATTTTTCTCTCTCAAAAATATACCAGGTCCGCCAAAGTACGCTATTTTATGAAAAATGGAACGTAATTAACACTTACAAAAAAAATATAGTAGACTTTCTTGGAAATACCTTCCTACACTGCTTGTAGGAGATCCCATATTCATTTATTAAAGTTTGAATTATTAGAAATTATATTTATATTATCTGTAGCCTGTGTAGCTATATTTTGTAAGAGATCATCAATCATTTCACATTTGCATGCAAAGTCTCTCAGGTGTGCCAATTTAGACGATGCAGATGTTTGTTTAAATAGACAGCGCCTGATATTATGAATAGGATTTACTTTTGAACAAATAAAGTCCCCCTTTGCAGCTCCATCTCACTGTTGCGCTTCTGCAGTCACAGAGCAAATGCTGCGCAGTCCGTATTTCACATCACAGTGTGCTGCGGTCTCCACACGTTAAACACTGACCTGAAGTGCAGCTGTTGCGCAGAGGACTCTTTCAGTGGGGAAAAAGATCCATGCATCAAGTGTATGGAGAAATTACCTAATAGCGAAAGTATTTTCAGCGTTTATAGAGCCAGGGACTCGCACCAAGAGAAAAATTTCATTAAAATGATTAACAAAAAATACTTTGTAAATTGCTTTTGATGCTATTAGAAAAATGTCTTTCAGGTCACTTACAAAAAAATTGAATTTTAAAAATTAATGATTGTTTTTTTCAGTTAAAAATTTAATATGACTTCGTTTGGTTATACCAGTAAAAATAATTGTTATGGGTCAGATCAGGAAGAAATAACTCACTAAGATGCACAGATTCATTTTTTACAGTGCAGAAACGTCATTAATGGGGTCATATGATGCTTTTTTAAAGATCATTATTTTGGCCAGATTGTCATAGCAAAGTCAGAATTACCTCCTCTCCTAGGTTCACGAAACGGTCGTCCATAAAATGCATTGCTGTTCTGTTGTAAGTGATCTTAAAGATTCCTAAATGCATCTACTTTCGGAAGGCCAAATAAAGTGCTTTTGCTTTCGCCTAGAAACACACAGCGTCTCCCTGACATGGCTGCTTCAACCCTAACTGCGGTTACTGAAACCACGCCTTCTTTCTTTGCGTGAACAGTTGGGCGGCATTATGCTAATATTTCCACATAGTGAGGTAGATATGTGGGGGCGTGTTAGAACGAGCCGTTTTAGGGGGGCGTGGCAGAGTCTTAACTTTGATAAAGAATATCTCTTTGGATTTGAGACTTTAGTCTTTGCAACTTCAGAGATCTTATCTATGCACAATCAGCTTGTAACACTCCAAAGAGAAAGGAAAACTTGAAATCGCATCATATGACCCCTTTAAATCTTTAAGTCTCTTTAATATAACCTCATTGTAAACCCAATTCAATACCTTCACAGACCCCCAGGTGTCCACAGACCTCTGCCTGAAAATCCTGGTAATAGAAAGTAAAAACTGTATACTCAAATGTGTGGTAGGATATTGTGATACTGGAAATACAACAAAAATCAATATAGAAATATTTAGGTAGTACTTAATGCAATAACGTCTAAACCTACTAGGTTTCATTGAAGTAAAAAATAAAATTTAATATGCCTGAATTAATCTGAATTGCAGAAGAAAAAAAATCAATTTTAAGATGAGAAAAGGGAGAAATAGCTCATTAAGATTTTTTTATACAGAGTACCTGTACTTACAGTTAATAAAATGCACACATAGTGTTCATTGGCTTTTTGAAACCATCTGTGTACATTCTGCATATATTTCTTATGTAAATAAGCTTTGCGGATTGAATGTGTAATGAAAGCATGATGCTGAGTGTATGTTGAGCCACGAGGTGACAGTGTACAATTGATAACGGAAAAGGAGACAGGTGTCAGCTGTCTTTAACAATTGCTTTTTAGTGTTAGCAATGTGTTAACATAGTGTCAGTATCTCCCAAGAATCCATTAGGTGACAGTGTACCCAAAGCAGCAAGGAGGTGGACGGAATTCAGTTCGTATTTGCATTCATGAATCGCAGGTGTCAGTGTGGGTTGATGATATTTCATCTCGCTCTCTGTGCCCATAGGGTGCAATTGCACATCTCTTCCAGACCCCGCCGAGAGATGTGGCTGCTGGAAAAGATCCGCGGTTCAGTGGAGGGAAATGTTCTCCGGCAGGGAGACTCGACTGACAAACAGAGCAAAGCCCCAACCTACAGCAACGTCCTCACCCCTGACAAGATTCCCGACTTCTTTATTCCGCCCAAATTGGTGTGCTGCCCCCCAGAAGAGGAGACGCCGGAAATGAAGCCAAAAAATGGGCTCCATTCTTCCACGCCCGAGCAGACCATATGCTGCAAGATGCCACAGGGCAGTCCGCGCAGCCCGCGCCTCATTAACAAGCTGGCTGGAGACACCAAGAACTTGCTCAAAGCTGCAAATCGCCACATCATCCAGGTTGAGAGCGCAGATGACTTGGTGGTCGGGGAAGTGGGCGTCCTCAACACAAACGCTGACCCCCAGTCCCAGACGGCCATGTCCTTGCCCTATGTACCCAAAGCGCAAACCTCCTACGGTTTTTCTACGCTCATGGAAAGTCCTCACACGAGACGTAAAGAGTCCCTCTTCCATAGCGACCCCACAAGTCCGCTCACCTCGCCCAACACCCAACGCAAGTCGCAGGGCAACCACTTAAACCCCAGTGACTGTAACATCTCCCATTCCAACCCCTACCGGTACTTCAGTGGAGGGGAGAGTGACACTTGCTCCTCGGCAGAGTCCTCCCCATTCAACTCCCCTCTGTTGTCCCGTTCCGCATCCCTCCTCAAGATGTTCACCCACGAAACCCAAGCCAAAGTGTCCCGGGCCAAGCGCTCCTTCGGTCGGCACAGCTCTCTCTCCACAGATGAGTGCAGCTCTGTGGAGACCAGCCCGAACATTCAGAAGCGCCTCCGTTGCCCTCCTTCTCCGGCATTCCGAGGACGGAAACATGGAGGCAACATGGATCGCTTCACGCAGCACACCGTCAACCTCCACAAGGGAGGAACTCTACGCATCTGCACAGACTACGACATCGACGCCTCCAGGCTTCACGTCCGCGTGCTGGCGGCCGAGGCTCTCTACGATAAGCAGTACGATGCGAAGAGCATCAACTGTTGCGTGGCTCTGTACCTGAACCCGGGAAAGCTCCAGAAACAGCGGAGCACCATTATCAAGAACAGCCGCAACCCTGTCTTCAACGAGGACTTCTACTTTGACTCCCTTCCGGTTGTGCAGGTGAAAAACCTCGCCATCAAGATGAAGGTAGTCAACAAAGGCACCAGTCTAAAGAGAAATACCTTATTGGGAGAGAGGGAGGTACCCCTGAAGGAGTTACTTTCCGGGATATAGAGGTCAGATTTTGTCCTCCAGACACACCAATGCGGTCTTCACCTAACAGAACCAGACAAGGAAATATCCCAGCTTTGAGTCCTCAAAGTGATTTGGTCCCTTTGGTTGCAGAACTCTCCAACTAACTGTGTGCAGCTTCCCAACATGTTTACCAGCAGTGAGAGTGAATGGATGTACAGTACTGTATGTGTGAGATATTCTGTAAATTTGGCCCATGAGTGTACAGGCATGCTTCGATTGTATACATGTGAGTTCCCAGGGTTTGTGTTTGTTGAGACCAGTGTCTTCTTGATTCCAGACCCTGCTGGGTCTCACTGTTGGAGACACAGATAGATAAAACAGCTCCCCATCCACATGGCATATCTTGACAACAAAAGCACATTATTGTAGACTGACGCTTTGAAGTCACTTAAGGCCAGATGCAAATGCATGCTTCATCAGCCGTTTGAGCCTTAAAATGACGAGAATGACAAATATATATTTGTCCCCCATATTGCTATAATAACAGTGTTTTGCCTTATGCCTCTTTAATTCCGCTCTTGAGACTGTGACATTTCTCTCACTGTAAAACTGGACTTTTGATGTTTTTTTTTTCTTTTTGAACGCTGAATCTGTGCAGTTAAAAACACCCTTCAGCCTTATTGAGTGACAAGCTGCTCACTTTGAGTGACACTGAACTTTTTAGAGAGGGCGTGATTCGTGATTGGACAGAGCATATGACATCATCATGAATGTCAAGACAATGTGATTTCTGTAAATAGAAGGCTCTTTTAAATCTGCTTCTGTGTAGCTGCATCTGAAATCACTCCCTATTCCCTATAAAGTTGACTAAATATTACGCAGTTTGGAGAAAGAGTTCAAAATACTACTGGAAACAAATGTGCCAAAAACTACCATGGTATTACCATGTTTTTTTTGGACATGCTTGTGACAATGCTATGACATTTTTTGCAGTTACTTGGATTGGCATGGGTTCTTGGGCATGTACCATAGTTTTGACATTTACCACGGTGATTTATATGAAAATGGTAACCATGCAGTACCATAGTATATGTCAGAGTATTGTAGTATTACGATACCTGATCTAATACCATTGCTTTACCATGGTAATATCATCGTTTTTTTGGGCATGTACTGTGAAAATACCTTGCTTTTGGACAAGTACCATGCTGATACCATAAAGTACCATATTTGCATGGCAGTTTATACCCTTATTTTTTCACATGACCCAAAGTTTTGGACATGTAACCTGAATATATCTTAGTATTCTTTGAAGTACCATGATACTGTGTATATCAAAATATTTACCATGGTACTGTTTTTGCAAGGGATATACTAGTAACCAAAAGTTGCACAGGTTAAACTGTTATACCGAGGCTATGCTAACATACACAATGCTTGCAAAGAAGTTTCTTCAGAACAACAACGTATGTGTTGACGTTTCTAAAGGGCATTAACGGTGCCCACTAGTGCCATTTTAGCTTAAATCTCAGGTTAGGGAACATATTGCATTTTCGTATGTGTGCACTTTAACACGTTGTTGACTTGCAACAGTTTATGGTGCATTGTGGGTATCGTTTAGTAAAGTATAAAATTGTTCAATAAGATGTGGGATATCCCCCAGGAAATATGGAGTTTTTTCATACAGCGTTTATGTTCAGAAAGTGTTCAGTTGATTATTCTTCTATTAAATATGTGCACAGAGTTTTGGCATGTTTATAGTAGATGTGTTTGTAGATGTTTTCCAGTGGGAGCAGTTGCATGGCAAAATGTTCAAGCCCACATGTTTTCTTTTCTATTGTTATTGAGTCAGATGGTGAACATGTAAGATATAAGCTCACATCTTTTCTTCACGTCATCCCCTGTATTGGATCCACAACACTAACACTATTTTGTATATTGTACTTGATACTCATTTTTACCACAGAGCACAACAGTGACTGTACATTTTTTCCCCAATTTTGGACATGTATTTTTCTCATTCATTTTCTCCACTGGTAATTTGAGAAAAAGGTGTTAAATAATAATAGGCTGAAATGAAAAGTCTGTCTTGAAAGGTTTATATCTTACAGTTAAAAACCTGAAAATTAATTTTCACCTCACCCTAAGGTTTCACTTAAATGCTGTTGATTAAAGCCGAGTCAGATAAATTTGGACTTTAAAATTACCCTTGTATAAGACACTGTAATGCGTCATACATGGCAAGCTCTTTGTTTGACCTAAAGAGTGTCCGGTAATATTCCTGAGAGCTCTTCAATCAGGTTGCCACACTCTTCTGTTCTTGAGTGGATTCACACAATTGCACCGCTATTAGAAGTGAGACAGATTGTCTTGCAGTTCTGGCTTCAGCTCAAGGTAACACATCTGTGTGTTTCTGATGAATCATTTGCATATCCTTAAGGGTGAAGTGTGTAATTTTTGTGCCACATGCGACACCAAATGGAATTGCAACTAGTTTTTCATGTTTTGTTTTTCCAATGGAACGTGAGTGATTTCCTTGTGCAAAAGTTTCTAAGGAGTTATTGTTGGTTGCCACCTCAGAAATTCGTTTCAGAGGCTTTTGATTGAAGATTATTAAGAGTTTTTTTTTTTTTTTTTTTGAGTAACATGCAGATGAATCATGCACAATAAAGTTGCAGTCACAGTAGCAAAATTTTGCATGCAAAAATTGGCCCATTGTCTATTGTCAGTAGTGTAGCAATGCATGAAGTGCAACTCACTTTCAAACCAAACATCTTTCCGGTGGTCAACGTGGCAAAAGTGTACGATTACCTTTAACCTGTTGAGAAATCTTCATGGCTAAATCTTTCTTCCACATGCAAAATTCCCTTTTAAAATGGCTTGATTTTGACTGCAAAAATTCCAAACCTTAAAGCTCAGAAAGTGCATTAAGAAAACAGTCAGTTTTCATTTCATCTTGACTTCTATTGCTCTTTTAGATTTAGTTTCATGATATAGCATGTGGCATACATTTGAATAATCAGTTTTAGTGCTAAACAGTCTTTCCCTTTAAATGCAATTATTTTGTCATTTCCGTTTTCCATTTTTCTTTCATTCATTGATTTGTACCTGTTGAGTTACCATCTTTCAACTTTCATTGAAAGCACTTCCATGTCACGTTTGCCAAGCTGAAAACATGTATTAGACATTAAAGGGGGAAAAAAAGCACTTGGACCAAATGGTCCACAATTACATGAATTCTATTTTCAGCGCTCTTTCAAAAAGGCCAAATTAGATTTCCCATCAGAGCCACGTAGAAAACAGAAAGCCTTATTCCTGTCGGAGACTGAGCTCTTTTTGATTGGCAGAGAATTCAAATTAGAAGATGAGAAATAGATTCCAGAAGGGATTCAATATGGGGGGTGTTAAATCACATTCATTTCCGTAACCATCTTCCTGTACGTGAGATTAAAGTCTCGCACTTGTGTTTCGGATAATTCATGGAAAATGAAGTGCCTATCTACTGTACTTGATTCCCGTTCCTTCCCTGAGCCCGTCACCAGCCGCAGCGTTCCTATGCATGTGTACATAAACACCCCTCACCTGTGATGTGCCGTTTCAAACCCGGAAATCAGCATTCCTAAATAGTGTGGTGTTTCGGCTTGTTGTTATTCTGAAGACGGATGTGGTTTTGATTAGATGCACTGTCGTCATGCCGTTTATTTTTGTTTGTTTGTTTGTTTGTTTTAGCTTCTTTCCAGTGGTTTATTCTCTCTCTGTGTCTCTTCTTCTTTTCCAGACTGATTTTCTATTCATACCTTTACTGGGATCATGCTATTGCTTTGTCTATTTTCTTACTTTGCTCAATAAAAGTTGTGTAGATGGTATACAACGATTGATCTCTGTCCTTTAACAGTCCAGAATGTTTCTGGAGAGGTGAAAATGATTTTGTGTATTTTCAGCTTTGTGTGCAGTTACTAGCACACATGCATATTTGTATAGACACTTGCATACACATACAATATCAACAGCATCTAAATCTTTAGAGACATACAAATAATTTGAGCTTCAAAAAATATCAAATTCATAGTGTTGTTTTATTGCATTTCTAATCATTGTACACTCATGTCTGAATTTAATTCTGTCATGGCAACTCTCTGAGGGATTGGCATGGTAATGTACATGACAATGTTAATGTATTTGGTCTTGGCGGAATAGATCTGCTACGCTGCTGCTGCTGCGGCAGAGCAAGTATCGAGACTTGCTACTGCCAATACATCCACAACATGCTGCTGTAAGCATGTAAGAAATACTGCTGCTGCACATATAACACATATGAATAACCCCCATATAGTGTACATGAATCACCCCGTAGCAGATCTATACAGGTGGAGCTGGGGAAGGTGGAGGGTTTCTGAAGTGCACTGCAAACTGCTACAGCAAACAAAAGCCAGGTATTTGAATATTGAGCAGTAAGCTCATTGGCTACCGATACAGGAGAGAACCAATCAGCTGCCATGTGACAATGATGTCGCCAGGTCAGATTGAGCTAGACCTATCGGACTGCGCCATCTAGAGTTTCATGCCAGAACTCTGTATTTGTCTGGAAAGCTCTACAGAAAGAGTGCAAATGACATTACTTTTATAAGTCCCGTCTGGATTTCATTTATATAGGAATTTTCCATTAAAAAGTCATTATCAGACAAAGTTTCTCCATCTTTTATTGCTAAATGAGAGTTGCACTATGGCACTGTGTATTAAACTCAAACACCTGCATTACAAATTCCCTCAATTCCAATTCTAACCTGATTTTAATGGATTTGTAATATTTCTAATAATAATATAGTAATGGTAATATTTCTAGAAATGTCCGGCCCAATGTATATTGTTTAAATTAAAGAATTTTCTGTAATGATTTTTCACCGTTACAATTTTGAATTATGCATATTGAAGGAAATGTTACACTTTAATGTAAAAGGTACTGGTAATTGTCTAATTGTGGTGGTTTTATGATTTAACAATTGCTGAGATGTTAAAATTGAATGCTATACATGCATAAGCCTACAGAAAGTGGAAGAGACCACTGCAAAATGTGGTAACTGTTGACAGCGGCATAGATGATTACTGATCTAGTCTAATCAAATAAGAAAATCTTTCTTTAGAACATCAGTACGTTCTGTCTGAGCCTGAAAAATCATAATTGGACACATTATGTGTTCTGGGCTTGTGTCCAAATGGCAGATTTGTTGTTTGTTTTTCTCCAGGTGCGCTGCCGAAACATATGAAGATGCGGTTTATGGTGAAATAACAAAAATGTGTACTTTGCGATCAAAAAAGTAGGTTTGCACGCATGCGATCTGATGGCAAAAAACCTAAATGTTGGTTTCATCACACCGTAAAACCTTCTTGCCTCTGCTTCAGTCTCCAACTGATCTTCTGGCAAACCATATCTGAGATGTCAGATGGCATCTTTGACAGCAGCTTTTCTTTGCTGCCGTCTTATAAACCTGTGGCTGGAGAAACACCCGAGATGCTTGCAGCTCCTTCAGATTTGTCATTGGGTTCTCAGTGGCCTCCCATGCTTGGTCAGTTTTTGAGCATGTCGTGCTTTTGGTACATTTATAATTGTAATCAAGACAACTCTTTACATTACTGATTGGGATTACTGTACATATAGAAGTATAGTTCAGTTAATAAATGTATAAAGGTCTGATTTATACCAGAGCATGTGAGCGAAGCGGAGCGGTGTGACGCTCCGCTACATTTTCCGCTCTATGGACGTGTGCTCCACTCAGTCGCTCTAACCGGCCAAGCAAGCGCTCCGTTAATATTCCGCTCACGCTCGCCGTAAACCAATTCCCACTCAGATCCCGCTCCGTTCTGTAAAGAACAAATTTGCGTGCATTATATTAGATTATAAATTACTGCTGCCTATATCTAGCCTACATTCTGTAGGACTACCTATTGGTTCAACTGAGATTATTTAATAACTACAGAGCTCCGAATATAATTTGAATTAACAATTCGTTTCTACGACGTCAGCACGATTTATTATTTTTTTTATTAATTTATTATTATTTATTAATTTTAAGCAATAATGATTTTAATAAGTAATTACGAAATATAATAATTCATTCCACGATTTAGGCCTACTAAAACTAGGGAATGAACGAATTAACGAACGAATGAATTCGTGCCAGCTAAGTCTAAACAAGAGAACGAATACTTAATTCGTGGCCATAATTTAGACTAAACGAAAAAATTAATTTTTAATTCGTGGCCATAATGTAGTCCTAGCATAAAAGAGAACTAGCCTATTCTAAATTCGTGGCCGTGATTTTGTCTGCATGTCATGATCGGGGCTCCGTACAACCGAATATAACCTTAGCCTACCTGTTTATTCATTTATTATGGTATGTAACTAGCTCACCTTTTGCTGCACCATGTTTGCGTAGCACATCTTCGTGCTCTCTGTAATCAATATGAATCTGTACTAACTTTAACAGTCTCCCCACACTCCCTCTCAGTTTCTTCTCCCTGCTCATTCTTAACTGATTTTTACTTTACATTTATGTATAAGGCTTGCAACTTCGTTGAAACAATATCTGAACTCCATAACTGCTCTACTATTCTCGATCTCTACAGATTCTCGATCTCGAACAAGCAAATCACCAAACGGCATTCTGGGTTGAGCGAGTGGCGCTGAGCGTATTGAGCGAGCGGAGCGGAATCTTCAGAAAGGCGCTCTGCGCTCTAAAGGAAATATTACCACTCCGCTCCCCGCTCCGCTCCGCTCAAATGGTTTTATGCTTTGCTGAATGAAAAGTGTTTTCTTTTCCAGTGTGAGTCTCCAGCAAGCTGAACAACAAATTGTGCTGCGTTATCTTCTTGTGTGAGAATCTCTGGTTAGCAAGGTCAAGTTATTTTTGTGAAATTGCAGCTGGTCTTTGTTGTCTGTAAAGGAAACTTTCCCACTTTAGTGCTTCTTGATTCTGTACTACTGTCTAGCTTTTCACACTGTACAGCCATTGGAACAGTTTTGGAGAAATTTCATCACTTGCTCATCAATGGATCCTCCGCAGTGAATGGGTGCCGTCAGAATGCAAACAGCTGATAAAAACATCACCCACAAGTAATCCACACCACTCCTGTCCATCAATTAACATCTTTTGAAGCAAAAATCTGCATGTTTGTATGAAACAAATCCATCATTAAGACAATTTTAACTTTTCAACTTCTGGCTAACATTTCTCCATGACTATTCTGACGGAGAAACAAGCTTATCTACATCTTGGAATTCATTCAATAAGATTTTATTATTATTATTATTATTGACCTTCTTTGCACACACACACACACATACAGAGAGAGAGAGAGCTGTGCTAACATAAACCAGTGTATGTAAACTGATAGGCTTGTTTTTTATTTGTATAAGGATTTTGTATTTCCATAGATGGTTAATGTTTTGGACAGGTTTGCTTTGGACAGATGCATTTGCATTTATTTCACTGTCAGCCTATTTTATCAAAGTGACTTATAAAACGGTGCTTAAATTGTTCTGTTAAATCAATTAGGAGCACAAGATACAAAGAAAATGAAAGAATGATGTGCTGTTAGTAGCATAGCACTCTGACAGATCCTAATTTATGGGTAGAAGATACACAAACCTAGACAGTTAGGAAACTCAGGACAGTTTTTTAGACAGTTTTAGATTTGCGTTTTAATATTCCACTGGTCATAAAGCTTTTCAGATGGATTCCAAGGCTTTTTAGGTCGGGTAGAATCTGCGATCTCTGAGCCAGTTCGTTTTCTGGCTTCAATGGCAGCAATACGCTGTGTTTTCAGCTAACTGGCAACCCGGGCTTTTGCAAATCAGTGGGCGGAGTCACACAGACCAAAACAAAAACAGACATTCCGACACAGAATTCATTGAAAGTAGAATAACTGTAGCGTTGTTATTTGGAGAGACATTGAACTTAGCATGTTTCCTAAATACCTGTAAACATATTATGGTATTTTTATGCTTCAGTACAGTCAAAAAAATTACATACAGAACCTTTAATCATGAAAATTGCTTATCAATAGAAAACTTTGTAGAGTGTTGTGGGTGTTGCTTTATGGTTTTCTGGGTGATTACTAGGTGTTTTCTGCTGGATTTAGGGTGGTCTTTAGGTGGTTTAGTGTGGATCTTTACTGACCCGTCTTCAAGTCTCTAATATTCTGGTCTATAAATATTGTGTCCCTCCTTCAGTGTAAGTCTGCTGGATTTTATAAATGCATGTTGTATTTCGCATATGCATTTATAATGCATCATGTATTTTCTGCCTGCTGTGTCTTTGTTACGAGGCCATGTTGGAAACACAGTATCAACTTTAAACTGGTAAGACGCAAAAATACTCCTCCACTAAGTAGAAAATGTTGCTATGGCAACAAAAGAACCATTGTCTCCTGATGCAAAGGGTGAATGTTCTGAGAGTGGCTATATTTCATCAGATCACATGAGCCATAAAAGTTGAGCATAACTCACAGAAGTTTAGGAAATGTTTCCTCTAAGGCTTGTTATGGTCATAAAGCAGACGCTGTGATCTTTCACCGGTATTCCCCAGCGCCGCTCACTGAAAACAATTCCATGGTTATTCTTGATCGGCTGAGCCAATATAGACTCAGTCACTTTCAGAGTCAATGCAAAAGGGCATTAAAGCAAATGAAATGTCTCTGAGGGGAGCGAAACTGCAGTCTGGTGTCAAACCAGATGCATTTTAA